GTTGGCTGGTCAGTCTTTCACTCTGGTCCAGACTGAAATATCTCAATAACTGTTACTGTAGATGGATTGTCATCAGAGTTTGTGCAAACATTCATGGTGCCCAGAGGATGAATGCTGCTGGTTTTCATAATTCTTTGATCCTTTTGACAGTTTTGGTTTTTAGTGAAATCTCAACAGATATTGGATGGATTGCTGTGTCATTTGGTGCAGATCTACATGGCACCTTAGGGTGCATTTTGATAACTGCGCCTTCATCGGGTCAACATTTTTTTTCTTTGCTCAGTACTTTGCTTCACTAAATATCAGAAAATCAATGACATTCCCATTAGCCAACTGTACTTTGTACTTACAATTGTTAGCATACTAACAAGCGCTATCATGTTAAACATTAAATTTAAACAAACCTAAACATGTTAGCATTGTCATTGTGACTCTTAACCTTGTTTAAAACTGAAACTTTATGTTTGGAATCAGTTAAAGATTTATGACTGTTGTGAATGAGGGGCTTGGGACTAAGTGTCATTGACAGTGTAGGGAAGTCGGAAACTATGAGCAGACGAACAAACACATTGCTGGTTTTGGTTGAGTCATGAGATTTTTTGACAATAGAGAAAATTTAGAGCAACACCAGATTTATATACCAGACCTTGTTGTTAGCAGCTAACACAGTAACCTAAGATCGTGAACATGGTTTACATTACATTACATTGTCCTTGTCAGTATATTAACTTTAGCATTTAGCTCAAAGCACCGCTGTTAACATACTGTTTTCCTGACCTACAACAGGAGTTTTTTTTTTTTTTTTTTTTATCCAGGTGAAGTACTTCTGTTTGAAGGAAGAACTTAACTTGTAAATATGTATGAAATGTTTGAATGAGCTGAAATATAATATTTAACAGCTAAGAGAAAAAAATCCACTGTATTTGCTGATCTTTATGTTGCTCCTAAAGCCATAAAACTGCACAATGCTTGCATGAGGTTATGGGCTGAGCTACAGACAAACATAAGTCGTCTTACTGTGCGGTCCCCCTCTGTGTCCACCCAGACAACAACATTTCTCTGTAGCCATTTCTCTGTACCCAGACACCCTTGCTCCCACAAAACAACTGTTGCCTTGGTAACCAGTAAAGTAGGGCACAATCACTGACCAGCAGGAAGTGTGGAGCATTTCAGGTTAATGAGAGCGTCCATGTGGGAAGGGGTGTGTTCACAGCAGGAGGGAGACCTCTGCGTCATTCTGACAAAGGGGTTTTCCTTGTGTTTATGACAGTGGGAATATTGTTCCAGTGTTATCCTGCTAGTACATACAGTATCACGCCATTCAGTCAGTTTTATAAACAGGATATTTTCTGTTTTCCTGTCTGCACCCTGTATAATTTCTTCCGTCTATTGTGTGAAGTACCTGTGAAGTATTTCCACATACCAAAATATAAATATAACAAGGTATTTAATCCAATCTAATTTTCCCAGAAAAATAGGGAAAATGTGGGATAATTTCATGTTACAAATTTCACTTATTTCACATAATTCTCAACTATGACAACCAATTTGAGGCTTTTATACTGATCAAATGAACCCTCACATCCTGCTGAATTTCAAGTGTTTTTTTTTTGTTTTTTTCAGTCTTTCAGAATTTCCAACAAGGTTTTACTGCAGTGGAAGATGGAGTTTTCCCACTAGCAAAATAATTCACTTAACAAAACAGAAATGTAAGACAGAGTTTTTGACTAAGATGGATGCACATATTACAGTTTGGTTCTCAGTAGGATTCTGTTGTAATCCAAAATTTCCTCCAAGGAGCTGTGTCTGAGATGTTTCTGAAAGAGGGCTGATTGCAGGTCACTCACGTTTTCCACTGTAATCTATCAAACTAAGGTTGTAAGTGTTGTAATATTGAGTACATACAGCCTGGATCAGAGACTGTGGTAGGAAATGGCCTGCAGCCAGTTTGGCTTGACTGCAGGTCAGTGAATATGTTTGTTGCGTGCTGATCTTGGACCTGAGCTGCAGCCCACAAACACACACACACATACAGCCTGGCTTTGCTGTAGTTGTGAGGACACAGTAGATTAAAACTTTTTCCTTGTGGAATTATGTAACTCTTACCGTAAAACAGCAAATATTTATTTTTTTGCCCACTTGAAAGCAGCATAACAAGCTTTAAACTCATCATTATCTCCTTATCTCCTTATTAGTTGATATTGCAAATGTATTTGCTAACAGTTACATATCCAGCACACAATGCACAACAAGTGGATTTATTGGGGCATCTGGCCACAATGAATGTTCAGGCCTCAGTATACTCAACTGAAGTTTAATGGTCAAACAGTGTCTGAAATCTCTTCCTCCAACACCGCAGGACAGAGCAGCAGTTTCAGACTTATCGCTCATAGAGGTTTTTCAATAAGGATGCTGTGATCTACAGTGTCAAAAGCAGCACCAGCAAAACAAAAATAAACCCTGCATGCAATGAGGACTGAACAAAATGTCCTCTCAGCTTGAAATGTCTTCAGCAGCATGTCAAGAGTATAGGTCTTCCACACACACACACACACACACACACACACACACACACACACACACACACACACACAGGCACAGTGGCCTCACTTCTTGGTTTTGGCAGGTTATCAACATTATCTCCATCTCTCTTTCTCTTTTCCCCCCATTCCCAGCTGTTCACATCTATCAAGACTGCACTCATTACCAGCAGGCAATTAAGGGTCTGGACTGAAGGTATTGTACTGAATCCTATTCAAACACAGGCACCCACCCACACAGACACAGACGTTGAATGTAGTGTTTGTATTCAGGCAGAGCAGCAGTGTAATCAGTCATGCTGCTGCAATACCCTTACCATGATTTGCCTTCAGCAGGATCATACTGAAATCTCCAGAGGCTCCTTATCTGCCAAACTGTTGCATTAAAAAAAAAATCTTACCACCTTGTTCTGTCGGACTAGAACTGAAAGTGCAGCTCACTGGGACCCGTTCCATCATAATATCAGGAGACACCCTCTATCTCAGTTATTAAAGGACGCAGAGCAAGTGCAGAGGGATTGGACAGAATGAACTTTAGATGATTAACAGGTGATGACATGAGGACTCGCTGCATGCAATTTTGTTTTACTGTGACTCACATAGTGTGTGTGTGTGTGTGTGTGTAGTTCAGTTTTTACATTACAGTTACTCACCTCAACAGCGCAACATGAATTTGACATTTTGTGGATCAGCTTTTTTGCTGTCTTACCCAGAGTTTGATTGGTGGGTTGACATTAATGTAGTCTTTGTGTGTTCAGTGAAAGGACTGGTCACGTTAGCTTGGTGCAGGGTCTGGCGTTGTGCGGAGGTGGTTAGTCCTGCAACTCCAAAGTTGTCTAATTTACATACTGTGCACTAATGTTAGCTGCTGGCAAGCCTACAGGAAAATGCTGATGGATAGCAGTGGAGGAACGTAACTCAGCACATGAAAGTTTTGAGGTACCTGTATTTTACTAGAGTACTTGGATTGTATGCTACTTTGTACTTCTATTACAAAACATTTCAAAGGCAAATACTATACTTTTTACCGCACAACATTTATAGTTGTTGTAGTTACTTTCCAGATAAAGGTTTTACATTAAAAGGATAATCTTATAAAATGCAATGTAGTGCAATTGTTAAAGATTAAACCAGTGGTTCTTCAGCCTTCTTGGCTTGTGGTTGGAGCTTCTGAATGCATGTCAGATGTCTGAGTTTTTAGCAGTTCCACTGAAAAGAAAATTCCCCTCTAGTCTCACATGGTTTCATTTAAATAACTGAGTCCAAAGGGTAAAACAATATCCAACATTTCACAAAAAAGCAGAAAAGCAAAGATTGGAGAAATGAACTTGAATTTCACATGCGGGTGTTAAAGGAACAGCCCTGAATAACACAAAGGCCGATAATGTAAGGAGTAATGTAACTAATCATTTTTGCTTTTGAGTAGTTAGTAATGTAATTATTATTCTCAGTGTAATATGTGACAAGTAATTTATTTGATTTTTCAAGATTCTCGCCCACCACTGGAGGCATCTGTTTTGCATTTACACATGAAATGTGTAAATCAAATTTTCCTTGTGGGATGATAATGTACTGAACTGGACTCATGCCAGGACACAAAGTGCAACTGAGAGTGAAATAAATTAGTGACAGTGGGAGCTTCATATTTTATGGGGGAAAATAACAAATCTGGAAGTGTCATTTAGTGACATATAGAAACTATACTGTAAAGGCAAGTTATAGTTTCTCTCATTCTCCCCCTTTGTTTTCTCTCCATCACTCTCTTGCCTTCTTCCCATGTCCACCGGCTGTGCAGGCTCTGAGAGACCCGGCCAGCATAGTTTGACCATAAACGGGCATGGGAGAGTGGTGAGCTACACTCAAACATAACATGCAGATGCACATATACAGACAAATGACAAACAACAGAAAAATGAGACCGGTTTAAGATTTCAGAGTTTGACATGCAAAATCCACCTGCTCCTTTTAGGAAATAAAAACATGCTACCCATAATCTTGGCAGCTCAGACTCTGTGTGATAAGCCTTAAAGCTAATTTATCTTCTGCTTAATAAAGAAGTCACTATGCTAAGTGTCAATTCAGCTCAGTGTCTGGGCAGTTTAAGTGCTGTGAAGCAACTGTGCTGGACAGTTTAACAGCAGCACCACAAACCACAACACACGCACGCACTTTGGCATATCCATGCTGATCTCCCTGTGTTGCTGCCAAGATGGACTCAGTGTAGCAGCTGTGTCTCCATGCTTTTAAATGTAGACATGTGTGTTACATTAAAGTGGACAGGAACCTCAGATAATACACCAGTGACAGTCAAACACAAAAAGAAAGGATAAAATGAAGATGGAACAAATATGAAGAGAAGTGGTGGAGGAGAAAGGGAAGCTGGTCAGAGAAAATGTAAGAGAGGAGGGAGGGGGGACCAAGGAGAAGGGAGCTTGAAAGCCAAAACTGTATGAAGTTTTG